GGACGAGGTTGGCCTGGTGCTTTTGAGAAATCGTCCGTGACGAGATCCGTGCCTCACCGAATGGGAAAATTCGGACAAAGAGTAACGACGGTTGCTGGTTCCCCTTCGAGAGAATCGTCCGTGAAATCTCGTCTCTCTGCGGAATTTTCGGTGTTGAACTCGAAGAAGGAGACGTGGATTAGGAGGGGGGAATAATTCGAGGACGTTGAGCGAACGGTTGCTCTAATAGAGACGAATTAGGCGCTGTCTCGACGTGGCCCGACGCTGATCTATTAACGTTGATTGCATTCGAATGCAAATTCGCGAGGAGAAGGAGGAGAGATGGCAATTCATCGCCAAAGCGATGCACTTTCGCCCCTTTCCGTCCAAAGCGCGCGAATGACTGTCCTATCCCGGTTTTGCACCGATCGATGGTCCAGGATGGACGAGCGAAAGGAAAAAAAAATTCGAGCGCGTGAAGGAGGTGGAACAATGGGGAGGGGAGAAATATCGCCGAGATATCGAAGGGAATAGATGAACGCGATGCAATTAACGAAGAAAGGAAAATCCGATTTTCCGGGCGTTGATTCACGATGGCCTCTCGTTTCTCAAAGACGTTTTTTTCACGTACACGGGAAGCGAAAGCGTATGGGATCGAGTGAAATTTTGGCGAATCTCCGTCGGATAGCCGTCGCGACAACGGTTGGAAAAATAGCCGCGGCTAAATTTCCCCCGTAATCCGTTTAATTCTCCTCGACGTGGCGAATTAATCGGCACGCCGGAGCCCGGAATTAATATTAATGACCTCGTAGTAACTTAATTCGTTCCGCTCGAATAATGCTACTTCTAACCCGGAGGGGAAAAAGGGGACCAAAGTTTCCCCGATCGATGAACTCTCGGCTCCACGACTCTCCACACCGCGCGATTTTTCCTTTAAACCATCGACGCCGAAACGGAATCACCTCCGATGATAGCGGATGGTCGATCCGTGGACGGAAAATAGATTCGTTTCGCGAGTATATTCGTTGCGCGAATATCCCCGCGACAAACCGATTAATTAACGCTTAACCTTTCGGCTAATTCGATTTGGAAGCGAGCGCGAATGGGCAGGGAAGGGGGAAAATGGCGAAATAAGCCGCGTGCAATTTACTCGATTGAATTAGCGTATTATCGGCCGTTTCGATCGATCCCAATATCCCGGGGTCGGATTTCGCCCATTAAGCGAATCAAATTCCAAGTATCGTTCCAATCCGGGATATTCGATCTAGACTCGTCGAAAAATTGTATTTTTACCGTCCACTCCTTCGTTTCTCTCTTATCGACCGTGCGAAATGCACACCACCGCGTGTATTCACGGATAGAAGCGAAGAGAAACGAAGAGAAATCGCTGCGCGAACGCTTCAATCCTGTATATGCCTACGCACGCGAAACTGTCTCCTCGAGCGGTGGAAACTTAATCTGCGGCCTGATTCAGCCGGCTGGAATTTGACGGACGAGCCCCGTCTGTCTGCCTTCCGCCTCTGTCATCGCGGATTACAATGTGCCGTTTAATTATTCAGAGTCGAGGGAAATTTCCCTCGATCGTACCTCGAAACGAAAGAGAATTATATAGACGGCTGGCTCGGTCGATTCGAAGATCCGCTTCGATATCCGCGCGAAACCAGAAACAACGCGACCATCCTTTTCCTCCGAGTTAATCGCTTAATTTCTTCGAGCGGTAAGTAAGTTTCTCGATTTGTCGTTTCGAGTACGTAGATATCGCCGCGCGAGTTTCCGTTTCGTGCAAATAGAGGAGAGGGATGGAATTGAAGTTGGACGGGTGCCAGAGAAATCCACCGATCCAATCTTTTCTTCGCTCCACGGACTAAATTTCGTTGATGGTTTCGATATCGCGAGGTATCATCGATTTCTTTCCAACGATCGAGCACAAAGTCTGTCCTCTCGATAATTTCCCGAAATCGAAATCGATTTCGATTCCTTCCGATACTTCTGTTTTCGCCGAACATTTTCACGGATTACCGACTGATATTTGCAATTCCATCGGGTATTATTCGAAAGATTAAAACCACCAACGATGAACGTGACGTTGCCGTGTTCCGTCGACATCCCTGAAAATCCTCCTATTTCCGCGTAAAGTCCGTTCGAGCGAGGCCTCCGATGTGATTCACGCCTCCGAGGAAAAAACAGGGAGGGGAGGAAAAAAAGAATCGTGTGGTACCGTGTAAACCGATTATCTGTTTCGAGTGAGTGCAGAGAGAGAGAGAGAGAGAGAGAGAGAGAGAGAGAGAGAGAGAGAGAG